TTTGTGGATGTATTTTACAAAATACAAACACAATCATCAATAAAAGATAATATTTGCTAACAATTTTTCTGCAAAAATATTTTTATCAATCCTTTAGTCTGTGAAACACATAAAAAGTCTATTTTCACACAAAATAACAGTGAGAGTGAACTGGCAATCAAACAAAAACACTATAAACTAAAAACACAGATATTATATATATACTGTATATATACCGTATATATACCGTATATATACCGTATATATACCGTATATATACCGTATATATACCGTATATATACCGTATATACCGTATATATTGTATCGATTATTGATTAAAGCAATACTTTATTGCCGTCTGACTTATTAATGTTAGCACAAACAGCAATCACGACTTATATACAATACTGTGTATGTGTTTGGCTATCCATAGGCTTAACCAATAGTTTTCAGTACATATCTGTACACATAAATGATATGATGTCTCTGTTATTATTACAAAACTTTATATAACTATAGATTTTGATGAGAAAATGCAACAATTTTCTAAAGAGATGCTATAAATTCTTGTTAAACCTCTTATTATAAGCACATTAAATCACTGCCTTAAATACCTACCAGTGTTGAGGAAATGGTGACCAAAAAAAAGAGAAAAAATATTTAACTCTTACAATGTCTGGCAATCCATACTTTGGCCATCAAATTATTATAAATGTTTGCCGAAACATAAATAAATCTTCGCTATTATTACGTCTATTGCTGTGTCAATGCTATACTCCCTTTCCCTTCATTTAATATAATAACAAATTTTTCTGTTCACTTATTTTCTTTTTATTTCATATATATATAATATCAAATCAAACAAATCATATACTTTTTTAATAGGCTTATCAAATACTTTTTTCATACACAATATAACTACTAAATTATATATAATTATATATATATATATATATATAAATAATCAATATATTATAACATGATTTATGTTCAAAATTACAATTTTTAAATATTTTTTATCATCATTATCTTGATCTTTATTGATTTACATCCACGCATGTATTTGATTGATATAATGTATTATTTTTAACATTTTTTTGATAAAGTTTTAATTGTATGTATCATATTAGATTGTCGTGTTGTATATCTATTTGATTACAATAATATTATGATTTTTATTACAACATTTTATTCACATTAGTATACATTAAAATTTTTTAAATGCTATTTAATAATAAAGCCATTATTACGAAAGTTGTTATATAATTTAAAAAACAATAAATGAGTTGTCATTTTTAGTGTTAATTTAGTTGATTAAATAGACAGTCGAGAATACATTTAATGTTTTTAAGAAAAATAATCAAATAGTAACATCCCTTACAATATAGATATTTATATAATAATATATTAAATATATATATATATATATATAATTTACTGCATATAATTTTAGAGTATATTTACATCAAAAATAAATTAAAACTAAATAAATTAATTATCATATTAATATAATACTTGTTACATAAAAACACTATTGTATTTGAATAATAGTTAATTGCTATAATACTGTATAATATATTCACTCAACACAACTACCTGTACATCATTTTATTGCTTTTGCGAATTATTATTTCCTACAGAATATTCTTTAATTTGAATATTCTGTTTGCAAATAGTTTTGAGTTTTTTTTATAATTAAATAATGCATAAAAATTTTTGTATTAGTTTTACAATTAATATAGTAATTTCAAACCGTTAGCTAAAATATAAATATATATATACACATACTATATATTAATTGAATATATTGCAGTTTTATTATTTAAAAAATAATTATTCATTAATTATATAATGATTTAAAATAAGATAATTCTGACAAACTGTGATTAACTAAAATTCTCAAGATAATTCAAAGTTTATAATTTAACAATAATAAATAAATAAAAATTTTATATATTGCCTGCAATTTATTCAATTATTAACATTTAATTATGAAATATTAATGATTAATTACACAATTTACACACTAAAACAATTGATTGTTAACTAAAATCAATAGTTTGTCAATCAATAGGTGCATAGTTTTACAAAATGATTGATTAATTGATTGCCAAAAAAGACTTTTATACATTTATTTCAAATCTTGCAAGTTTTCCAACAATTAATATTAACAAAAAAATTAAGTAAATTGTAGGCATAAATGATAGTAATTATAGCAATATTATATTATTATTAGTATTACGATTGTTTTGTCTAATTTCCTCTATTTTTTCGTTTAAATCTATTGTAAACTCAAATCAATTATATATATTTTTAAAGGACGGTAATTGGATCTAAAAATTGTTATAATTTGATTGTATGTGTGTTTATTACTGATAGTCTAATAATAATTTTAAGTTTAACTCGAGTTAATTATATATTTTTTCAAACATTGGAAGCATATGATTAATACAGTATTATTGCTTTAGATTTGCCAAACAAATGATAGTCTAATTTTATGCACCATTTAATTCATTTTTTAATAAAATGATAATATATATATATATATATACTGTACATATCATTACTAATTTTTTTATTGCACAAAATTTTGTATTTATTATTATTATTTTAATCGCTTGTCTCTGACTAGACTTCAAACACTTGTCAATGAATAAGACAGGGATGAGAAAAAAAGAAGAGTAAGAGGGAGAGAGAGATGGAGAGAGAGGGAGAGAGATAAAGAGAGAGAGAGAGAGAGAGAGAGAGAGAGAGAGAAGATAACTAAATGTTTTTTGTACTAATATGTAAAAATATCTTTTTACTAAAAAGAAATGTCAAATTTTGATAATAATTTTTTTCAAAAGTGTCAATTAGTAATCAATAAATTTGACCAGGATTATAAATAAATTGCATCTGTTCCCAGCCATATACACATTATCATACATTCAAATGACAGTCAGTTTTTTATAAATAAAATATTTACAATACTTTAGGTCATTGTGAATGCATTTCATGAGTTAATTAATTAATCTGATTTTTTACACTATATTTCAATAATATTGTATCGATATTATTATGCTTTTATCGTTTATAAATTGCTTGAAATATAGATAGAAAACATATAGTTCACAGCTTTATATTTCTATATTTATGTACTTTATATTTATAAATGATATTTACAAATGATTTAGTGGTGTTTTGTATATTTATTTATATTATGATAACGCAAAATAATGAATTTTTAGCAAACTTTGCAGCAAACAATGCTTTTAAAAATAATAGATAGATGTTTAACACACATTATTAATTTTAGATAAATATTATCATAATGTTATTATACGCAACAATTTTTATATTAACTAAATAAATCACAAAATATATATATATATATATATTTACTATTAATTATATATATGTATGCATCTGTTTGTTTATTCTAAATATTAATAAATAATTTTGTTGTCTAAAACTCAATGATTGAGATATAATGTAAAACTACAGTTAATAGAAACCATTAATTTAAAACTAAATTTTTGTGCTTTTTTTGAAAAATCACTGATAAAAGACTAGAATACAGTGCCTTATCTATAATGATAATATCGATATTACATTAATAATAAATATCTAATAAATTATAGTAAAAATACCAACAAAACAAAACAAATTAAAAATTAGTGGTTAAGAGAGAAATCAAAGTTTTTGCTTATTATGATTGACGGCAATATGTATGTCCAACAAAATCCTGGTGATTGTTGGGGAACAAACATATTATTTTTTTAGGGAACCGCCAAAAAAGCTCAAACTTTGTATGAAAATTGCATTACTGTTTGGATGGGTCTACAGTTCGGGATAGTTATTAAACTCCACCCGACATTAGCTGCAGACAGAAATTAGTTTGTTTTTTAGCGCAAAAAACGTCAATATATCATATCATACACAAAGTATAATATATTTTACTATATTTATATATAAATATAAGCACACACTCTTAATAACTAAAGTTATATATTATTTTTTATATTGATATTTGAGATGAGAGAGACAGCAGAGAAATAAGAGCAACATTTGTTTAGTGTCACTGAATTGTTGCTCACAACCAGTGCTACCAAATACTATACTGTACTATATGTGCACTATTGTTCACTAAGTCTATTGCTTATCAATTTTGGACATAAATACGAAAGTCAGACAAAATGAGTGAGTGTGAGGAAAGAGAGAGAGAGAGAGAGAGAGAGAGAGAGAGAGAGAGAGAGAGAGAGAGAGAGAGAGAGAGAGAGAGAGAGAGAGAGAGAGAGAGGTGAGTGAGAAAAAAAGTGAGAGACAGCTAAGTTAGAAATGAGGGAAAAACAAAACGGCAAATAAGTTATATGCCATGAATGAGATAAAAGATAAAACTAATGAAACTTACTTTACAGTATAGTTTAGGTTATAATAAAAATACACAGCAAGAGAGCTGTTAGAAAGCACTGTTAGATTGCTGTTAGACTAGAGAATCATAAGTATATACTATATATCTCACAAATCAGATATACAGCAACTATTTTTTATATATGTCTATAATAATAATAATAATTGTAATAATAATAATCGTAAAATTTTTTGTACAAAAACACATTCAGCGTTAAGTTAAGGATGCGTTAGGCTATTGCTCTGCAAACTATACATTTGGCTTATGAGCCGAGAGAGGCTATACAGGCTATCAGCCCTATGAGAGGCACGTCTTGTTTCAAAGATTTTTCATTTGTTTATATGTAAACTATATAAATAGAAATTATATAAATTATATTATATAAGCAGCACATATGAGAAGCAAAAATTTGTAGTGTTATAGTGAAATGTTTTATGTAATACTAATGTAATTTAGTTTTGTTATCATAGTGTTATGTCTTATTACACCTTAACTCACGTTATTATATGCTTACGCTAAGCCTAATGGAGGAAATCAAGCACCGAGTCTTAAATAATACATATTTTAGTGTATTTTCTTAACAACCGTTTTTAATACAATTATTTTTCAGTAAATATAAAGCAAAAGTCGGGACTCCAGTTGTATCGTAAATAAAAACTAAAGCCATTTAATGCAAACCCATTTCATCATAGATTTTGGCCATTAATTTAGATTTTCATCTCAATTGGCGAGTGAATGACTGGCACTGTGAGCCCACTCCTCGAGTTGTATACTGTTTTATGCTGTGATGAGATCCACCACTACTGCTATTACTGTTATTATCACTTTGGTTTAGCATTAGAAGTGATTGATCTGCAGGTGAGTATGGACTGTGCGGTGAATGTAGAGATCGGGGAGAGTGAGTATGTGGTGTGGCCGGTGCTGGTGACGACACGGACGAGTTGGGACTGGCGGGCACTGACGTCGAGTCTTTAAAACAGGATGACTCATAATGCTTGTTCAGATAGGACTTCAATGCAAACGATTTGTTGCATCGCTGGCATCGGAAGTGCTTAAATGTACTGTGAGTTTGCATATGAGCCCTAACACCACATATAGATATATAAAAATAGAAACACAATATTATTATATTTTTGCGTAACATATAATTTGCTCATTAATATAATATCATTGATTTCATTCAATATTTAATATACTTTGTAATCATTTAATATAATAATAATACAAAGTTATGGCCATAAAAATAGCATTAAAAATGTATGCTTCATATAATGATAGTAAAAAACAAAAATGCATTTTTAGAAAGATATAAATATTTGGTGCGCTTTGACTGTGAAATTTGAGTGATTTTTATATATAATTTACCTAAGATTTGATCGATCGGCAAAAGCTTTGCCGCAATGGGCGCACCCAAAGGGCTTCTCTCCCGTGTGAGACCTCATGTGACCCTACAATACGTTCACAACATTTATTAAATCAGTTTTTGCATTAATTTGAAAATGACGTGATCTATCATATCTATTAGATGAGCACATCTATGCATTATATATATTAATGTAATGTATAGAAAGGCATACATACCTGCAAAAGCCATGGCCTCGAAAATGCTTTACCACAGGCATCACACTTATGATTCAAATTATGTGTTAGCTATCAATTGGATTAAAAGCAAAGATATTAAAGTAATGATTCAATTGAATGGTGTTATTGTTTGATTGACTGACCACATGCATAGCGAGGGCAGGCATACTGACGTAAACCTTGGAACAGGTGGGACACTTCTTTGCCAACTGTGAGTCAGGGCTCCGGTGTGTCTGTTTGTGTCGGGAAAGGTTGGATGACGTGGCGTAATGTTTACCACATTCAGAGCACGTGTATCGCGCCTTCTCTTTGGGCTCAGATTGTGGGCTCACAGAAGAGGCGGTTGTATTCGTTGTGTTTCGTCTTCGAGACCGACCGTCGCTGATAAAGAAGGCATCGTATGTATAGCTTATTGTTACGTTTGGTTTGTGGTCTGATTTGTCATCATTTGAGTCGTCAATATTGTCATTAATGCCATTACTGTTAGTATTATGAAAGTCGTTGTTATTTAAGGAAAGAGATAAAGTAGAGGCCGACGATTCCGGTCTTTGTGGTGATAGTGATGGTTGTGGTGATTGTGATGATTGTGGTCGACAATTGTCTATAATTTTATGACCCTTTTTATTGCTTAAATCCAATTCCTTTTCCTCAGCGGACTCTTCAACAATAGATGTCTCATGACTTGAGCTCTTGTTATGTATGACTTCTTGTTGATGAATATATCCTACAAATTATTATTAAACACAATATTTTAGATATTGAATGAAAAAAAAGAAAAACACTTTAAACAATCACAACAAATACATCTACTATTGCATCAAATTATTTATTCAATGAATAAAAGTCAATATATTTCTAACAAAAAGCTTTATTATTCTTATTATTATTATTATTGCAAACCATTATTATGATAGCACTTATTGGACAACACTTTAGTTGTACTCTTTTAATATAACCTATACATAGAATAAACATAATATCATATTGTAATGGTATGTGTGTTATGCTATGTTATGCATTAATATAATGCTCAATAAAATATAGCCATTATATATAAAACATTATATTATATAAAACATTAAACAACAACAGGTTTCTCATGAATATTGAGTCAATTGGTCGTACACTTCAACCAACCAACCTCTCTCTCTCTCTCTCTCTCTCCCTCTCTCTGTCTCTCTGTCTGTCTGTCTGTCTCTCTCTCTCTCTCTCTCTCTCTCTCTCTCCCTTCACTCTTGTCTCTTGACTCATGTCTTGCATTTTGTTGAGTGTTTTCATATATCTATTTATATATTTATATTTGAGTATTTATATATCAATGCATATAAGTATTTATATATATATATATATATATATATATATAATATATGTTATGTTATTGCTTTTCTTGTAGTAAAAAGTCACTCATAGAAATAGAAATATATAAAAAATTGATTTCATATCAAGTTGTTGCATTTTTACAAAATTTTTATATTTATTAAACTTTTATTTCATACAAAAACATTTTTTTATTTGAGTGCTTAAAAAGTTAATGCTTTAAATCATAATTAATGTTTTAAATTGATTTTATATTTATATTTAAATACTGTATATATATATGAATCAATAGTAAAAGTGAATGAAAAAATAGTACCAAAAGAAACGATTGATAATTAAGATTAATGTTTACTATATCTTCAAGTTTTAAGTTTCAAATTATTGAAAGTGCTTTAAAAATATTGTATAAACAATTCATTCTCCTGTTAGACATTATTATTGATTATTTATTGTAGAATTATTATTTTTATATATAAATCAAGTGAATATCATATTTTATTTCATGTAATAAATGATATTTTATAACGAAGTAAACAAGTTTAGATTATAAACTTATTGAATAACAATAATAATAAATACAATATACAGTACTGTGCCATACGATCCCTTTTTTTAATACACTGTATTAATATTAAATATTTAAATTTAATATAAACACAAACACACAAATCTAAATATTTAAAAAGCATAATTAAATTAATGGTAAACATAATTTAAGATATCATTCTAAATTATTATTTTTTATTATATTAGCAAAATAAATATTTACAAATTACTATTTGTTGAACAACTATAAAAATGACTTCATAAAAAATAATCAAATTTGTTATATTTTGATCACTATTTTGTTTTATTTACTATATAATACAGTATACTTATAGTATAAATAATTAATAAATAGGTACATAATATGCTATTAGATAATAACATAAAAATTGATTTTCGCTTAAATCTGTTTGCTCTCGATAGACTCTTTTTTTTTGTTTTATAATTATAACCTTAAAAACATTTGCAAAAATTAGTTTTATTGATAAGAAATCGTGAGATCATAGAGATGAGAGACACAAATACTATACATATACAGTAATATATATATATATATATAGTGTGTATTTAGATAGACTCCAATATTAGCCAAATGAATGTTATAAATAGTCCCAAGTGGTGCTCTGTTTTTTTGCCCAAAATATTCATGAGAAACATAATGCAAAAAAATTTATGCACTATTTTCCCAAAGCTATTACATACACATATATATATATATAAAAGTAGTATAAAAATAGTGTATTTTTTCTCTCTTTTTTTTAGTAATACAGATAAGCAATTTATTGCCAGTGCTCTCACTCATGTCAATCCTTATTCCTCTATCTAATGCAATAAAAACAAATATTATATTAGTTTTTGTTAGTTTGAATAAATTCATTGAATAATTTTTTCTCGTCTATATGTTGCCCGCAATTTAACAAATTAATTTTGCGCTTATACTGTAAATGCCATTTTAAAACATTGTAATTGATTTGCATTAGATGTCATTAAAATTAATGGTTATTTATATTATGAATTAATTTATTAATTTATCAAATTTTAACTATAAAGTTTATATATTATATACAGTAATATATTAACATAAAATATTGTTATAAAAATATTTTTATTTGGTAAACAAAGTCAATAATATTGATTTAATACTACTGTATATGAAAACTTTGAGATAATTATATTCAAATCAGTGATACATCAATGGATAAGTGCATGAAATGGATTATCAGTGTATATGTGATAATGTTTGAAGCTTTAAGAATGATATATGACTTGAATATAAGGCTTAATAAGATATCCAATGGTTATATGTGAACATCACTTGCGATATCATCTCTTATTTCTTGAATATCATTATTTTTTATTTACCATCAAATTGAAGACAATTCATTGCAATTTGACCGCATCCTCTATATATATATATATATATATCTCACACACCAAATAATAGCACTGTTTTTCTATTTATTTTTCATAGCAAACCACTTGTATGTCTCAACAATATATTCAATTGTTTGTGTTTGTTGACTATGAACTACAGTTTATATATACAGTATATATATAACTCATATATATATACTCATGAAAAGGACTTAATTAAAGAGTCAATTTTAAGAAATACATGATTGCATTCAAAATAAAACTGACAATTAAATAAATTAAACAACTATTTAATACAAATACACAATGATTAACATATATATAATATAAGTTTATTTTTATCTAATGTATAATTAGGACTCAACTTTCTAACAAAATAGAAAATTTGAATAATTTTTTCGTAGCACTTGTTTTCTTGAGACTTAAAGTAATGTTTATTTTATGTATTTGTGGCTCTAATTTACAATAAAATATATTTATCTGATTGTCACGAAATGATTTAAGCAATAGTTATATATATATATATATATATATTAGTGACAATAATATTATTGTGAATCGGAAGCAATGGTTACCAATCAGTTTGTATTATACTGTATGTATGTATAGATGTGTGGACATAACATTAGTGGTATTAGTGGTAATATAAAGCAAAAACAGCATTAGACACGCAAAAATATGTGAGATATTAAAATAATATGACAATATTTGCTCTACTATTTTATAGAAAAACGTTTACATATATCTATGGCATACAAATGTGTGTCTGTTTTCGTGATACCAGTGCAGTACACACATAACATAACAACCTTTTATTAAATGATATAATCATTTGATCGTAATATCAAACAAAAGAATTGCAAAGTATGGGCAAAGTATAGCAATTTCCCCTTTTTGTTGCCACTAATAATTGGCTGCATTTGTATGATGTGTAGAAATTGTCAAAATAATGTCAGATAACGGATAAAAAAGCAATGAAAAGCAATGAAAACCCTGGAATTCCTGAGCTCTTTCATTATACAATACCTATCAATTGAATGGACCGACAGTTTAACAAAAATATGTGAATTTCTTAACCAAACAATAATATCCTAAAAATTTCAACTCAAACTCTATTTGACATCAAAATAATCAAATTTTATAGATATAAATACAAAATAAAACTATTTCTTATATAATATTATACTGTACTGTAAATGTTGTTATGTATACATTTCATTGCTATGATTGGTTTGAAAATGTGAAACATTTTACTCATTAGATGTAATATTTAGATATTGAATATATTATTGGATGAATAAGTGGCTCAGCAGGTGTTGTATGATATTATAGAGTCTGAGCTATAGCTTCATTCATATTGTCGATGCCAGTGATGCCAACTTATGACGTCTATATGACTACAGGGGTCTTCACCAGTGACCACATGCTAAGCAAAAAAGGGATACAAAAGTGATACCCACAAGAATCTCAATGTTTATCATCTCTTATGGACTGTCTTTTTGCTTTTGATGACTCCATTTACACTATAATAGCAACAGTTGTGGAGTAGTGGAGTATCAGTGATAGGATTCTGGATGTCTGACTGTCAGGGCTTTGGGCTGATTACCAGATTTAGGCCTACAAAACAGTTTTTACTATATATTTATACTCAACTCATACATTCTACCGTTGGCTCAGTTATGTGAATATAAGACATAAAACCACTACATTACACAACAAAATATAAAGGATATGATGAGTGAGTGTGTGAGCCCTTTGGCTGTGAATATTTGGCCGCAACTCAGCTCTAACTCTGGCATTCATTTTCATTGAAAATCCTTTTGGCATTCATGTGATGATACTTTTGGTTAATACTTATATAATAAGAAATGCCTATAAAATAGACTAACATGTAATAAGAGGGAACAGTTGCCTCTGAGCAGCACTAAGGGATCAAATATAGCTTTTTCTCTGCCATATAATGCCCGCATAAATGTATTAAATATTTTTGTTGATATCACTGCTGCAAAATGAAAGTTAAATATAGAGATAATATAAGAGAAAGTAGAGAATGGGATAACAAATCCCACATACATTTCATACATACACTATATTTATAGTTAAACATTAACTAAGTTTTATTAGTGAATATAAATTTACTTTCCTTTTGGCAATTGTGTGTAACACTTGTTGACACAATTCAATAATAGTAAAATATATAAAAATGATAATAATATAAAGGCAACAGTATTATAGCAAAATATGTGTGTATATGTATTATAGTATATGTATTTTGTTGCAAAAGCTATATTAAAAGGCATTAATCTCTAATAATCCATTGTATTGTAGAGTCATTTTTGCAAACATAAAAATAAGTTGAATAAGTTGTTGCACTGGCGATAAAATAGTATACATAAAATCACGGCACCGGCAGCACAGGCAACACATATAAAGTACTTCAATTATATAAGCTTTTGTTGCTATTTATGTTCAACAATGGCACCAAACATAACAACACACTGTATATACCGTTATATATATATAACAGTATAAAAGATATCGATATATTTTCATATAGCTATTAAATACAGTATATGGACACATAAAATTATATAGCATTTATTTAAGGCAAAATTATAAATAGTCGCCCACCTATAAGATAATATAATATATATATACATTATAGAAATTGGTATAAAACTCTCTCCCTCTCTCYCTCTCTCTCTCTCTCTCTCTCTCTCTCTCTCTCTCTCTCTCTCTCTCTCTCTCACACACACACACACACACAGAGAGAGAGAGAGAGAGAGAGAGAGAGAGAGAGAGAGAGAGAGAGAGAGAGAGAGAGAGAGAGAGAGAGAGTTAATAGTAAATAGAGAGTTATATATGTATTGGGTGAGCATAAAGGCACGAACTGGGCTTAAGGAAAGGCAGACAAAACAGGCAAAAGTAGTGCAATATTAGTAATCCATTCTCTGTCAGATAATAGCATATTTTAAATGATAGGATTTCTGAGAGAAAAGACAGTTTCAAAAGGTTTTACATTGTGTTTCATACGTGTTGTGTGTCTATGACTCGACTCTATCAATCGCTAACACTATCATATCATATCATATCGTAATAATAATGTGCTTATAGTGTGTGCTCTTTTGCACATTTAATGCACAAATACATTACATAACACCACACACACACACACTCACTCACACACACACACACACACACACACACACACACACACACACACACACACACACACATACATACATACATACACACACATATATATATATATATATACATAGATATAAATATATGTATGTATATAATATAGACAATAAGATTTGAATCTCTATTACCCGATATTATAGCCTCCAAAATGATATAAAACAAGTTATAGTCTCGACATTCGTGTAATACCTCGTCATATAAGCCTTAATCGCACTTATTTTCCTCTTAAAACTTATTGCATTGCTTCGAGTCTTTTAATAAAAAATTCTACAATAAATGTATTTTTTGTAATATTATTATTATTATTATATAATATAGAGATATACAGTATGATATATATATATATATATATATATATATATATATATATATTTACTACATTTGTGTCTTACAATTGCATTCACCACAAACTTAGTGATCAATTGTTGATCACTCGCAACAAACTCAACAATTCAATGACTTTATTCAGTATAATATATATTTGGATTCAATATTTAATGACTTTTTCTATTGTGTTAAACATTTTTTATTTACTGGTATTACAATAACTTTCATAATAATATAATTTTAAATTTATTTTTACCCAAAAAATCTTTATATCAAAATTTTTTCAAAAAACGTAAACTCAATCAACAAAAACTCTTATTATTTAATAATAGGTTTTAAAGTATACTGTAATTTTTAATATAGTGTTACTTTTGTTTTAGCAATTTTATTTTAAATTATAATTAATTTCAAAAGTTAAATATTATATCCTGTTTTATGTATCAGCATTTTTAAATAATTTAAAAACACAAATTAATAAACAAATAATAAAAATTATTTAATTATCTAATTATATATTTTAAATAATAATAATAACATTATTTACTATACAATATATATATATATATATATATAATATCAATTGTATATATAATTAAATGTATATTTTAAATAATAATAATTACATTTTTTAATAATGTATATTTGATTAAAAAAAGTTATATCATTAAAATTAATTTAAGAATTATAATATGTGTTAAACTTATCGCAAACCAAACAAATAAAAACGATTTAAAGATAAATATTGTGACATAAAATAATGTTTGTCAAATAACAACAATTAATACATTATGAAATGTAATGATGAAAATATTTAAAAATAACAGATATTATAATGTTACTGAAATATATGATTTCCTAATATAAATGTAAATAATTACGCAAATGAAAGGCAAATAAAATAAAAACAACGGTTTAATTAGCATTTATTCACACATTTTGTTAAATACTGTATACTTTGTTGTGTGAAATCACTGTATTTGTATGTAAGTTGAAATTTGAAACTTGAATTAAAGACTTTTATTAGTAATTCATAATTAATTAGAAATGTCTTTAAGGTAAATGATATAATTATGTAATTAATTGATAAAACATGCTTTAGTCGCTAAAATAAATCTATAATTATTATTATATAAATAATATTTTGACACAAACGACAACAACATATTATGATTAATATATATATTAATGTAACGGAAATTCATTATTATTAGTTTCTGTGATAAAAGAGTATTCATTGGTAAAGTGTATGGCTTTTTGGGTATTTTATTGGTTAGTGTTTGTTATGGCAATAGGTATTTGTTGTGTGATATCATTTGAATTATTGTCATTGAAAGCAGTGACAGAAGGACTAAAACAAATTTATATTGTATGAGCCATTGGGGGGACATTACCGACAAAAATAAAAACCAATACTAAGGCATACGAGTGGGTGAGTGAAAGAGCACTTGTATGATAGTATTAAAAGTAGAATCACATCACACACACACACACACACACATATATATATACTGTATATATATATATATATATATATAAACATACAGCACTATTATTGTAGAATTGTATGAGCGCTAACAAGTGTCTTAATACAACAGGGCCTGAATTTGTATATATATGTGTCCGGTGCTAATATAGTGTCTGTGCCAATATATGTGCCAATATATGTACGGATTGAACATTAAAATTACAAGAGTGAGAGCACATCTGTTGTCTCTCCTATTGAACATTCAATATATTATATACTTGTAATATAAAGCAATATTAAACTACATTTTAACATATCTGTAGCTCTCTTTCTCTCTCACTGACTGTTAGCTCATATGCAAACACCATTAGTGAGGGAAACACTATATAAAACATACAACAACTCGAGGGCTAAATCATTGAAGGAGTCCAACAATTTTTTGTATGTGAATGTTATATAACGAAAGCAAACATTTAAAGCAATACAATGACAATATACTGTACAGTGTCTCAAACTCATCATTATTATCCTTTAGGATTTGTATGAGGATTAATGAATATATATATATATTATTTGAGGTAAACGTATTACGTGTTTCTAATAAATCCCGGAGCAGTCAAACTCGTATTAATCCTTAAATTATTCTTTTATAAAATCAAAAGGTATTTTTGAACACGAATTACACATTTTCATGATTACACTGCATATCATTATCTATATATTTAGTCATTAATATGATATACAGTTTTTTGGAAGCAAAAAAAATGTATTTAATTCATTCAGTGTATATAATATTCAATACTTTAAAACTTATTATTAGACATAAAATTACATTTTAACTTTAAAATATAATATTCAGTATTAAAAAGAGAAAATATCTCATAATCTTTTCAACTAAAAAACATGTTGTGCCGCACAACAAGTTATAGCCATTCTGTGTATATATTATTACTTATCTCTATAATTATCAAATTTCTTATAATAAAACACACTTTCATAATCTCAAGAGATTCATACAAATTATAAAAAATGTTTCCATAAACACAACAACAAAAAATCGCTTACCATTATAACAGAAGTTTAGATTGAGGTAGTTTGGATTGGGTGATAGTGTCGATGGACAGGGAGATGGTGCTGTCTCGCCTTCGGTAGGACTCAACGGTTGTTTATAATACCACTTCCCGCTGTGGTCTATCGGGTGTTTGACTTTTTTGACCAGAAATGATCGCGGCATCGTCTATAATTGTTAGTCAGCAAATACATCGTCAATAAACTACAGTACTATATAGTCTTAAATAAACATAATTTTCTAATATACTGTACTGTAGTTGATATGAGTTTCAACAATCAGTAAAGTAAACAAACTTTTTTATATATACTGTATATATGATCAACAGTAACAGCAAACAATACAACAATCACTGTCACAAATATAAATATGAATATAATAAACTATATATATAATAATAATAATAATAATAATAATAATAATAACAATAACAATAACAATAATAGTAATAGAAAAATTATAAAAATATTTACCCATTGATAAACAATAAATTAGTTATAAATTAAATATGTTTTCATTTAAATTTGACGAACACACTGATAAAATATATTTTATATTTTTTCTATATATAAAACATTTTTTAAAAGTAAAATTTGTTGATTTTGATTTCACAGAAAAATAAAAACACTTTTTTAACTATTGAAAAGTTTAAATTTTGTTATATATAAATATTATATGAAATAAATACTAATAAAAGAAGTGTAGAAACAAATTTTTGGAAAAATAGTTATAATCTTTTGGAGCGAAAAGAGTAGATAACTAAGAGGACAGCATTTAGTATATTATATAAATAAATTGCATTTAAAACTTGATGCCAACAGAGATGCTAACAGTGTGGTGGTTGTTGTGTGCGATACTGTTAGTGTGTTAGTGTATGTACTGTATGTGTGTGTGTGTGTTATGTGTTGAGCATTAGGTGCTCTCAGTCCTCTCACTTGAGTCAATATAACTATTGCTTAGACTATGAATGGAAGCGCCGGAACGATACCAACAATAATGCAGTATTAAAGGCCTCATTCTCTATGAGTTTCCAATATATAGCTTTTAGAGCATGAGCAGCACTGGTAGATCATATATCGTACCACACTTTATGGACAAACAACGATTGCGTCAAAAAGAGCTGAACAATTGATCGACCGATATATTAGTCTCAGTTTAGTTCAAATATCAATATAAACAAAACAAAACTAAACTAAACAATATAAAATATTAATAAATTAAATTATAATTGAGTTTTTCAAACCAAAACCAGTCACTCAAATAAATCTAATATTTGATAACTATTTAATAAATTCTTTATATATATATATATATATATATTATCACTATAATCTATTTTATACATATATTATGATTTTAGTAATTAAATTTTAGTAGTCAAACAGTAAACATTTATATATACAGCATATATAACATAATCAATAGAAGAAAGAGAGAGATCAACGTTTATTATTTAATTTTATATTTTCATTGAAAATTAGAAAATACCAGTAAATGTCGTTTGTTTTAGTGCTTGTAATCCGATATTTTATTATATATTTTAAGCGTATTTTGCATTAGTTAACAAAAAAACTATTTTCAGCAAAACTAATACAACAAAACAACAGCACAGCAAACAAGTGTTGACCCAAACATTGAATCCATGAAATGACACTTTTTTGCAAAACACTTAATGCATTGCAATGCAGTGCACAGCAAAAAATTATGACAAAAAAACTAGACATTCATCTAATGGATCCGTGGTTTCATCAATACGTGTTTTATAGTTACTTATATCTCACAAATAATTAAAAAACTTTTTTGTTTGCTATATAATAATGAAAATATTTTTTTGCGTGTGGGATAAATTTTTGTTTGCTTTTTTCAAATAAAAAGATTTAACAAAAAAATATTCTCACAATTTATAAATTATGAGTAATTATGTACTTTTTTATATTTAATATACTGTATATTTTCAAAAATATTGTATACTATTATATATAAATATATAATTCGAAAATTTTAGTATTTTTGTAACATTCAATAAAAATTTAGAAATGTGCTGAACCTGTTTGAGAGATAAAGTTTGAATATAATACACTAAATAATAACAAATAAAAATAAAATTATAAAAGTTTGCAATTTTTTTATAAAGCACATAATTTTATAAAAATGAAGCATAGCTATTAATGTAATTTTATACTCTTTATTTATAACATTTTATTTAATTTTAAAGTTATGTTGAGTGATTAAAATTGTTGAACATTAGTTATAAAAAAAACTATAATATAAAATATAATAATTTAGTAGACCTGAGTTCATACAAACGTACAGTAGATATAAATATATATATATATATGTTGTGAACAGATCAACAAATCACTGTTTAACTCATAATCTAATGGCAAACACAAACACACATTTAGTGCATCAATACATTTACAGTCAGCGTTGCCTTTAATGTGTTTTTCTTTTACTCCATTGAGAAAAATGATTGTCTGTTTTGCGACCATTATTTTGCTAACTATGCTAAACATGTCGACTCAATGTACAAAAAATATACTTCTTGTAGACAAAAAAGGATATATAAAAATTACTTATCTTTGACTAAACATTAAAATTATTTCAACACACACACACACATAAACACACACACACACACACACACGCATACATACACACACACATATATATATATATATATATATATATATATATATATATATATATATATATATATATATATATACAGACATAATAAATGAGTGCTAATTTATAACTTTATTAAATAAAATTTTCTTTTGTTAAAAAAGCTATCGATTTGCGCCACTAATGATAATCATATTTCTATATTATACATTCAAAACATTTTTCATTATTATTTTTATTCAAACGCATAATAATATTAGAAATCAGTTGAATGAGTTTTCATTAGTTAAATAAAAAATATATATAACTAAATATTACACTATAATACTATCAAATATATAAATATATTAGTTTCATATTTGCGTAAAGTAATATATAAAAATTAAATTTATTATTCAAAATATTTATAACTGTTTTATACAGTATGTTCACATATATTGTATATAAATCTTTATATATAATAACATTTATTAGTTAACTGTGAAAACATAAAAGCAAATGAAAGAGAAAAGTTAAATACTAAACAAAAATAGGTAATAAAACAATTAATCTCAATAATTGAGTAAAAATGATCGGAATTTACTATATATATCGTTATATATATTTATATATAATATGTACACGATTTTGATGACCGGATTGAATCAATTAGCTTTGCTTATGACCATCTGATCCCAACCATTACTAAAGCGTACAAATAAATCTTTACCACTAAAATCATAACATGCTATACATACACAACATTTCAAGCGATTGCATGATTTGTTGACTTTGTATAACATTTATTAAATCTAAAAGAAAAACCAAAAATCTAAAAGAGAGTCAGTATAATAGTGCGAGAAATAAAAAAAAGTGTTGAACTGTTTGCTTAAAATATGAAATTGTTTGCACTAAAGAATATAATATATTATAATAAATTAAATTAAATAACAGCAAACATAAAAAAGTGTTGGCAAACAAACTTTATGTTGGAATGGATGACGCGCTCATCTGATTATCTGATTATGTGATCAAATAATGTGTGAATTGTTTGCATTCATCTGATAAGTGATAACTGTTTGTCACTACATATCTTATACTTATGTATTTGTCTTATACTTTATATAATAGGAAAGTAGAAAAAGTGCAAGAATTTTGCCAAAGATTTTAATTTATTTGTTGACATCTTTGTTCAAAATGTCGTACAAATGCCACAATTTCCCGACTCTCTCTCTCTCTCTCTCTCTCTCTCTCTCTCCACAAAGAGACTCATTCAGTCACTTACTCATTGACTTTTTTTCTCATCTTTTCGATACCAGTATTGAATTAAATGGATAATACAGTAGTGATGTGGAGCAGCAAATGTGCAAACCTTGAAACGGTCTTTTCTAAAGACTTAATGTTCATCAATAAATGGTATTCAGTGTTGATTGCATTGATGGCAATCTCTCTCCTCTTTTTTTAGTTAAAGCAAAGGCATGTCTCGTAAAAATTGCTTCGTCTCTCAATTTTTGGACTTTTGTATAAAACATAGAAAGAAAAAATAAATGAATGAATGGATCCTTTTTTGTACGTACAGTATATCTATATGCTCTGTGCATATATATATATATACATTATAGTCATCTATGGTATATATGTCGGGTGTGTATTACTATTATAGTTCATCTTATATATCATTGTCAGAGTTGCCGTGTGTTTCAAAATTTTTCATTTAATTATAAGCAACAATTGCAAAAACATTGAGCATTCAAAACTAGTGCCACAAATCATGAGTTGTCGTCCCCTCTATTTTTTGGGATCTAAATGTAAAACTAAATTAAGTAATTATGTTAAGAATAGTTTTGACACAAATGCAATCATCGATTGAGAGGAGCAGATGTAATGAGAGTAATGGATGTGAACTTTTGTAAAATTATTTTATATAACATACTATACAATACTAAAGTACGGTATTACTGTATTTTTGAATAAATCGACAAATGGTTTAACACATCATCACATATCACGCACACAATGGCATGTATTTGCTATAAGTTATAGCTATTAACTGTATATAATATATCATAAGGTATAAGATTTAGTGAATGAGTGCTTAACTTAGATTTAAGAGACAGCTTATCAAATGTGAATTCATATAACACAAAGAGCAGGTGCTTATAGTTATAGTTTACTATAAGCTTATGATTGTTCATCAATGTGTTCATCATTACTATTAACTCAAATCATTTGCTCTAATAATGAAAGTGTCTGCAAAAGAGACTTACAATATTAGTGGAGGAAAGTTGTGTTTTCTATGGCTTTCTATACAAACAACAAATATATGAAAACAGGTTTCAACTTAATATGTTTTTATGCTATATTGTAGTTAAATTAATATAGAATTATATAATATCAATACATTTGATACATAAGTTGTTTTTAGACTATCGGCTTATGGCTTAACATAAATGACCAACAAATAAGTGTTTTAATTAGTTGATCAACAAATGTATGTCATTAATAAATTTTAATATAATATAAAATCTTAAATTCATATTCAGAAACTTTATTATTAG